GCGTGCGTGCGTGCGTGCGGGCGTGCGTGCGTGCGTGCGTGCGTGCGTGCGTGCGTGCGTGCGTGCGTGCGTGCGTGCGTGCGTGTGTGTGTGTGTGTCGCACCAGAGAGGTTGCGACACAAAGCACGACTCTGGTCGGAGCTGCGTTTGAACCCGATGTGGCGATAACACGACTTTCAGCGCATGACATATCGAGGCTCGACGAGGCTAGCCGGCTAGCCCATTGGATCAATCTAAAAGTTACGAGAATCAGAAGCAGGGCTGGTTCTCCACTGGTGATACTTGGCGCAAAGCACGGGTGCATGACACACGAAGCTCGCCAGAATGCGAACTCCTTGCCGTCTCGCAACCGCCGATGCATGCAGCATCTGGCGATTCAGAGCCGTGGGAACAGAGATGTGCGACCGTTGTCGAGGGGCAGGCGGTGACAGAACTGATTTGGTAGGAAAGAGCTGCGATTCCCTCCGTGTGTCTCCGGCAAGGCTTGGGATCAGGCCAAGGTCCTCTTGTCTGAGCTGATGAAAGTGGCTGCGGGGCACCTACCCTTTCTAGACTTACACACACACAGACACACAGACACACTGTGTGGGACTGCGTCATGTGCAGGAGGCCTCCAAAGAGGAGGAGAAAGAGGACAAAGATGGCAAAGAAGCACAAGCGTCAAAGCCTCGCCTTCGCTTCTGGCCCGGTGACTGAAGGGGCAAGTTTGCTGAGGCCTCATCAAATCATCCAAAAGAAGCTGGCAGTTGCTTTAGCAGTGATGGAACCGGACAAAGAGTTGCTGCCACAACTTGAACATTGCCTAGTAGTCCGTGTGCGACCAGATAACTGCAACAGCCAGGTGAGTGGATCCATTGCTTGGACCTCTGTGCTGCTTAAGACCTACTGCGAAGAGTGTGCGTGTTTTCTGGCCTGAGTCCAGCATCTACATTGGGTGGATTGGTGTGATTGGAGTACTGAGACTGCAGTTCGTGGCAGCCTTAGCCGGGAGATGATGTACCAGTGCCCAGCGAGAACGTGCGAAATTTCCACGAGATCGCTGTGCTGTGAACTGCGAACAGCACTTATGCCCATAAGCTGCTGTGGCATCAGCATGAGGCTCGGACTATAACGCTGGGTGAGGCATCGGCCTCATCGCACATGCAGCAGCCTGTGGCGCAGAGTGACGACCACAGGATCCGGTGTTGTGCGAAGGTGATCGGTGCCAAAGTGTACAAGCCAGTTAGCAAAGCAGAGCCCCTGATAGAGTCCATGGTCGCAGAGGCGTCCATCAGCTTCGCTCGGTGCGTAGGTGGTTGTGGAAGCTCGGCAAGTGCTAGGAGTATCAGAAGTGGGTCCCGACGATAACGCGATGGATGTGCAAGTTCATCGCTATCAGCCTTGCTTGGCTTCTGGCTGAGTTTGTGTACGAAGTTCTTAGAGCGCTGTGTTTTGCCGCAGCAAAAAAAGAGGAGAGCCGGAGGTGGATTCAGAGGGTCATCTCCGCGGTTCACTCCGCGATCCGCGGCGGAACCATCTTTGCGGAGTACCTGGCACCGCGAGGGGGGGAGGGAGGGAACCCTGTAGTGTTCTTGTCAACCACTTCCTCCCTCGTTTCAAGAGACATGATTTAACGTGGGTTGTGCGATTGTTGCAGGTGGATTTCCTGCACGAGAAGGGCTATCTTCAAGTCGAACACAAAGAGACCTACATCGATGAGGTGGGAGAGAGGCCGCCACGGGCAGCGGGAAGCAGAAGTGGCAAGGCGATTGGCTGGTCGATTGCTGTGTTGGGCTTCCTGACACAGCTCGCTTTAGGGCGAGGGCCTTCGGCCTCGGCTTTGTGCCTTGGACTTCAAGAGGCTCTGGAAGCACTCTGAGGTTTCAGCTCCCCTTCCTGCTAAACCTGATCTTGCTTCCTGTTCAGATCCTGGAAGGCTTTATCGCCGGACTCCGAGTCTCTCTTCAGCTCAAGCTCCGAAGAGAACACCCGGACCACCGAGGTTTGGAGCGTCGGCGCTTGAGGCGGCGCTCGTGCTCGCGCCCGCAGGTCATGTGAAAACCCCTTGTTTTCCAGCCGTGACCTGCAGGGCAAAAACGAAAAAGCTGCCTCGAGTCAGCTTCTAGGTTCTAGGTCTACTGCAGGGAGCCCTTCGTTTTCGGATGATTTGTGTTTCTGCAGGAGAGCAAAAGTTTATCTGTGCTTAGATGTTGACAGCAGCCTGCCCGATGATCCCACTTTACCCGGCAGCCATGCAAAGCATCATCACATGCGAAGCTTCGCAAAGCCGGCGCAGCCAACGCCATACGTCTCCTTGTCCTTATCTTGAGAGTGCATCGCGGGATCCGATCCAGCAGCCATGGGGAGTGGCGCTGGGAAGCACAAGTATGAGGACGCGAGCTTGTCACTTGTCCTTAAGCATGCTTCTCCGGATTCAGTGTGAGCAGAGCTGGCAGGAAAAGACGGAATCCAAGACCGTCATTGTCGAGCCTAAGCCGGTACAAGAGGCGGCACCACCAAAGTTTATGCGGTCGCTGTCTCCAATGCCTGCAGAGGCCTCCAGGGTTGCCAGGGTGAACATTGCCGCATGTGATCACATGCCTTGCCGCCCTGAAGCCTATGCTCCTTTGCGCGGACGTCGGGGGTACCAACACTCGTCTCCATTTGTTCCGAGTTCCGGACAGCTCTTCTGCATACAAGTGAAGCGTCTGTGGCTTTGCAGTTGCAGACCATCGCAGTTGTGAGAGGAGACCTACACGGCGTTGGTGCCACCAGAGTGCATGGTTTACCAGGCCTGAGGCTGAGAGCTCGGTCGCCAAGCTGGATCCGGCATACAACATGAAAGTGCGCAGGCCAAGTATTCCAATGTTCAGTACGATTCTTTCACAGAGGCGGGCCTGCACTACGATTGCTTTTCTTGGTGCCATTCGTGAGCAGGTCGCGCAAGATTTCTTGAAGAAAGCTGCACACAGCACCTCGGTGGGGCTTGGAATGCCCGATGCCCAAAACTCAAGAAAGGGAAGAGTGCCAAGCTTTCTCACTCATGAGGCCTCCGCCTTACCTGGGCTGCTTTGCCGTGGCCGGCGTAGTCGTAGACAACAGGCCCGGGATTTGCGGGAGTTTCGATCACGGAGCTCTTGTGCTCGCAGGTGCAACCTTGTGAACCTGGGATGGAAGATGGATGGGAATCAAATTGCCGAGGTGCAGCTCAGCGGATGTGAAGGTCCTGAAGCGAGATCTCACTCGGGCAGATCTGCTACTCTGCCAGGACCTGGGAATGAGGGAGGTGTACCTGATGAACGACTTTGAAGCGCAAGGTGGGAAGCCCAGCCTTTGCTTCGGCAAAGAGGGTTGTGACCGAGGCTATGGCATCCTCACCCTGGACCACAAGACGGAGTGCGACGTGCTGCAGGAGCTGCAGCGAGTTGCAGTATGGCCTGTGGGGAGCGGCCTTTGTCTTCGAGGAGGCACCGGTGGTCCCCGGCGCGCCCATCGCGCTCCTGGGAGCCGGCTCGGCACTCGGCAAGAGCCCCAAGCCACGGCCGTCACTGCCGTTCCAAGCACAGGCACCGGCTTGGGCGAGGCCTTCATGACCACGGGCGAGAACGGTGACTACGAGGCCACGGGAGAGAACTTGCGTATCCCTGCACATCCTTGGCTGCAACACGAGAGGTCTGGCCCTCGGAGGGTGGCCACAAGGCTCGGACGAGGACACTTCCCTGCAGACTTGCGAGAGCTGGAAACAGGAGTTTGCACCTCGGCAAGAGGGCAGTACGAATCTTCAGACCGAGATGATGCAGTGCGCGAGAGCTGGATGCAAGCCCGGCTTTTGGAAGGCACTGATGCTAAAGCCAAAGGCCCCTGAACAGGTACCTGCAGATCCGCTTCAGCGCCAAGTCGAGAATTAGTGTGGAACGCATCGTCAGTGGAAGAGGCCAACTCCATCTGAGGCTGGCATGCGCCAAGACGTCTTGAGATGCGTGCCGCAGGTATCGCCAACATCTACCAGTTCATGGCGTGGAAGTTTCCAGACAAGCTTAAGAAGGCTTGACTTTATCAATTTCACCGCACTGCAAAGCTCGGGGGCGGCTGGACGCAGGAGGTGCACTCCAGGTTCGTCAAGAACGGGTCTGAGCCTCGGACCTCGGCCGGGCCGCTCTCGTCCCCCGCTTGTTTCAGCTCCTTTTTGAAGGCAGGATCCTGCCGTCATCGTGGAGGCGAGGGACTTGACGGGTGGCTGACGGGTTTGGGGGGGCTCCTGCGAGATGCTGCCTCACAAGGCTGCCCGATCTGGAGAGAGCGAGCTGAGTCTGAAGACCATGGACCTCTTCGTTGGAGCCTACGGCTCCGAGGAAAGGTGACTAAGGCGACGGGACAAAGACGAGAGTTGGGCCTGGGCAGGCCGGTGTCATGGCGCTGAAGCTGATGCCCTTCGGAGGCCTCTACGTCCCAGGCTCACAGGGATTTCAAGGGGGTGTCCGTCCTCGCCGGTGTGTTTTTGCCTCAAAGCTGAGGTGACTGGCGGCGTTTCCGCCAAAACTCGTCTCGTGCCTACAGTCCTACAGGCCTCCAATCAGGGAGCTCCGCTCGCTGCCTCGATCTGAGGTGACTTCATTCTGGGGGAGAAGGGGACGCCGTTACTCGGTGAGCATTATTCATGAAATTTTCTGAGCACTGCTGTTGGCTCCTTCTGGTCAGGGGCCAGGGGATCCCGTTTCCACACCGGCTGCCTCGCTTTAATGAATGGGGCTATCTTGCCAAAGGCATCTTAGGTGTCAGCCCTCGCCTGCCCACCTCTGCATCATGAGCGTCATCGGGTCTCCACCCCGCCCGCCCCCAACCGCCACGTGTACATGCTCATGATGCTGGCCCAAGCTTTCGCGGCAAAGCATGGGGAAAGCATAAACCACATGTTTGACACGCATCTCAGGTTTCGATTGCGCCTTAGCAGGCCCCAGCTGAAGCTTTACACGCTGGATCATTCCAGCGCCATCCCGTCAATGCTAAAAAGGTTCACACGCCGGAAACTTCCCTTCTGACTTCAACATGACAGCCCCTGCCAAAAGTGCAGTGATGCTCATGATGCTGGGGCAGATCTCGTAACAATCCTTCTGACGCTCGTGATGCTGGCTCAAGTTGATCGCGAAAGAGACAGTTACAGGCAGTCGTGTTGCACTACACGTGTTAGACTGAGAGACGCACTGGACGGCAAGGGTCATGGACGCTTTTGGTCAGCGGTGGCGCGCATCCGGTATCAAAGGGTGGACCGAGATGTGGCTTTAATCCATGCTGAAGAAGCCGATCGAGGCAGCATCCATGCTACTTCTGAGCGACTGGTAGAGGCATGGTTGGACCCCGACATCCTGCCTGAATGGACCTCACCAAGACCTCGACGGCAACGGAACGAATCTACCACCTACAAGGCCAACGAAGCGAATGGAGATAGATGCACCTGGACAGCAGGCAGATCCACCCAAGTCCTTACCAGGACAAACGGATGGGCCGCAGACCCAGCAGGTGCGGACGGTGATGACCGGCTGTGGCCGGACATACAGGTCCAGGAGCCCGAGACGGAGCCCGCGCCGGAGTCCCAGCAAAAGGAAAGCCTTACCGAAAGGTCTGAGGTTCGCCGACTACGCCCTGGAGACCGACCCATACGCCACAGGCCTTTTCCAGGACTCAGCGAAGAGAGGATGACCGAAGACATGGCCACAAAAGTACGAGTGGAGCAGGATCTTCGACGGACCGGCCGGCGCGCACAGGGGGGTCACCCTCTGCACCTGAACAAGGGACTGGGGCAATCGACCTAGACACCGCAGTGGACAAATGGAGGTACCTCCTTGGCCTGACGCAAACTTGGCCGTCTTTTACGGTCATATGCGACGGTCAACCTCTCCTGACAAGGGAGACCACCGTTGAAATTATCCGGCAGTCGGCTTCGTTGCTGACGCTCCGCATGGTTGAGGTGAGTGAGGCGAGCCTTTTCGCGAATGTGCAATAACCCAGAGGTCGACCTGGAGCCCGAGGACGAAGGCGACGCAGTCGATGTTGTGGAAGATGACAGGGTTGGCCCAGTCCAGATCCCGCGCACCCCAGTGGAGGACGAGGATGATGAGGTGGGCTTCATGCAACGAGAACAAGTGGACCGGCATGACCGCTGGCGCAAAATGCTCACCGCGTGCAAAGGGAGGCTCACCGCGCAAACGGACGACCGTAAGAGGAGCCATGTACATCAGTTGAGGGCGAGCTTGTTTCACATTATCGACCCGAACCACTGGACTGGTGAACAGGACCAATTCTTCGCCTTGTTGCAAGTGATGGAGGTCGCTGAGACCGTGCAAACTCTTGGATCATACGCTGGGGCGAGGAGTTTTTTCATTTCATGCCATATGGGCCCGGGGCCGGAGATGTCCCAACAAATGATGGAGGAGGAAATCGCACAGCATCCCCGAGACGAAGACGAATGGCGCAAGCAGCAAGAGAGGGAAAATGAACTGCGCCAACAGGAGGCAGAGCTGGCGGAGGCTGAGGAGAACATGCTTCAGGGCTGGGCAACCCTGTATTCCCTGTCTCGAGCAGCACGTCACATAAGGCGCCTCGAACCACGAACAGGAGGGTGTTCGAAATATCGGACACGGGCAACCTGATCATCCGACTGCAGGCCAGCATGGTTGATGAAACTTCGAAAGTGAGATCGCTACAGTAGTTATGGAACCGAGGAAGGGACGCAGTGGAACAATGGTATCAGGCATGCAGGGGCAACCGTCGGTACAACCAAGTCAACCATCAGTGCAGCAGAGGACGTTGGAGGACATCGATTTCGACCAGGTCACGGAGTACTCCGGCCGGTGGAGAAGTGGCACTCTGAGCTCCGACCAGGTCATCTGCAGGCTTGGCCCTGTGGTGGTCGAGCATGCCATGGACGAGACCACCCAAGACCGGTTGGAGCTGGTGAACTCGAGTCAGCAGGCTGGTCACCGGGGGGGCGGAGACGATACAGCTTGAGAGCGGCTGGTGGAGACAGGGTTGACAAGCAGTGTGACTGGGATGCCGGCAAGACCTCGTGGTGGCGAAGATGATGAGTACCTGGAGCACGGGAAGGGTGGAGACCCCAGTCGAGAAAGCTGGACGGCCGATGTGGATCAGCAAGACGAGTCAAACGAACAGCCTGGGGATGCAGACACGGGGCCACGCAGCTCGAAGATGATCCCTAAATAACCAACACCCGAGGGCTTGAGCTAAGCTACCCCACGCTGTTTTCTTGTACAGAACCACTGCGCATTACACTCCGCAGCCCTCTTGTGGCTTTGAGAAAGGCGCCCGCCTGTTTGAGCCCCAGATAGGTGCCGTAGGTAGGAGCCGCGTTTTCAGCTTTCGCAATATGCCAGCACAGGGTCGTCGAGGGCAGAGGCAAACTTCGAAAGCAAGTTTGTTGTGTAGCACGCCTTTTCTAGTCTAGAAGCTCCGAACTCCATTAGGCGGTCTGAAAAAAAGGCGCTCAAAAAAGTCCTCCTAGACCCCCCAACGAGTTTCCCAATCCTTAAACCTCTGCTAGATTTAAACACTCATGACATTAGCGGGCAATGGCGATTTCACCAATGCCCACCAACTCATGGGCCAAAACTTTGCAAACCAATCTGGTCTTGCCGAAATTCGATTGTTTTTGCCAGTGCCCAAGAATCGTGGTTTTTGCGATTGGCTGGTTTAGGTACAGGGTTCAGGGTTGCAGGGTTCAGGGCCTGGGTTGGGGGTTACGATAGTATGTAGGGTTTGGGGCGTTAGGATTTGGAGAGGGGAGTAGGGTTTAGCACCCGCCGGCTTGTTCCTATAGGGTTTAGGGTCTGTTGGGGTTTGGGCTTCAGTATAAGGTCTGGTTAAGTTTACCTCTAAGTTTAGGGCATAGGGTCAGAGTTGAGAGCTCGGGGCTGATGGTTTGGAGTTAACGACTTGGTTTGACAGTTTAGGGATTAAGCAGTTTAGGGTTTAGAGTCTGGGGCTGGTCTGCCAGCACTGCTTTAGGCGGGGCTCAGGGCTATGGTCGGCAGGGGTTTAGGGAGCAGGGATTCAGAGACTTTTTGAGGCTTGGTCAATAGGGTTTAGGGGCTACTGCGGCTACTGCTTTTGGGGTTCAGGAGCCCACTGAACATTTCTTTGGTACGAAGGGTTTAGAGACTTTTTCTTTAGGGTTTGGGGCCTACTGATTAGGGCATGCTCGAACTGGAGTTGCTGTAACCTAAAACGTCAGGTGTGTTGGTCATCGTCCCGGTCAGTGTCTCGGTCATGTTCCGCCCGTTACCGTCCGCATCGCTTTGGTGGGTCGGATTTTGACGCTGTCCCGGTCGAGTCTCACTCGTGTCCGAGTTGTGTACCGATGGTGTCCCGGTTCCTCAGCAAGACTCCATGGAGCATTGCTATTGCAGGTAGGCAAAGCGTGGGGCACAAGCTGTGTAGTGCAGGCGCCCTGTCCCCCCCTGGCGTTTTATCATCTCCGGCCGGGAGGGCGCCCACTAACTCGTTATATAACTCGTTGACATGAGCTGATTCCTAGGCATGCCTTCATGGACGCCTTCTTGGACAAAGGGCGAGTTTCCACTATGCTGTGACTTGGCGGCACTTCTCTTGCCGTGGAGAGTCACGAAATAGGCGCTGCTAGGCGGATGTCCGACGTAACTGCGTTCTAAGGACCAGAGTTCCTGTACCCGCCTCGGCACGTGGAAGTGCGCAGCAGGTTTGCCAGGTGGAGTTCCAGCCGCAAGCTTCTCCAGTTTTCCGCAAATCTCGGAGATCGAGGTCTTCCTCTGCCGGGGCGAAGATATGGGAGAGCGCGGTGTGAAACTGAAGGTGCGAACGCGGGGAGAGTTCGATCAGAAAAAATGAACTGTGATTCTCCGGTCAGGCGATGCGAATGTTTGCAGAGGCTCTGCAGCGGCGACAGCAATCTAAAGGACGGCAGCAGTACACCGGCTGACGCGGTTGAAACAGATGAGCCCTACCTTCACTAATCCCAAAATCCCACACAAATGGAGCACACGCACTTCGGTTGCCCCGCCCCATGTGAAAAGCATTGTAGTTCAGATAGGTTTAGCGGCATTCCCTCAAAAGGGGGGATGTGCGGAATTTGATTCATGCGGCCTTCACCGACGAAGTCGGAAGGCAGCGCGGCGTACCTGCCAACCCAACCTCTTGATACCTCTTGCTGCGGGAGCCATAGCAGGCTCAGATGCTATCTACACCCTGAAGTGTCTCTGTAATCGAGCAACTCTGGGAGATGCTGCCTTCAAGCACATCTCGTGCCGAACTGGAGCAGAGGATTAAAACACATGTGGGATATGCCGCAGTGCGCTGCTCGCTTCGGCACCTCGACGAAGCCCGTCTTGGCGCGCAGCTTGATCCGCGCGCGGTCCAAGGTGAACTGTAACCTCCAACATGTTTTCGGTTCCCTCTACGACCAAGTATGCTGTCCTATCAGACTTATCATCAGTTCTGGAAGTTCTACCCGATGGCTTTGGGTGCCGCATGGCGACTACCGAGGCCGAGAACAAGGCAAGTAACAGTAGCAGTCCGTTGTCAGAGGGCGCTTTTGCCTGGAGACGTCGAGGTCTCTCTGCAGAATGGTTCTGGCGGGAGGCGCAATATGGCAGAGTTCGCCGAGCATGGAAAGAAGATTCTGAACGCCTGAAAGGTCTGAGCAGCTCGGCAGTTCGGGGTAGCCCGTCATCGTCTCCGCAGCTGCGGCTGGAAGCGACGCGATGCTGGCTTGACAAGATTGTCATTGGCCACCTGACCTGGATGCAGCTAGCAAGACCATTGAGCAAGTTTCACAAGCAACTGGCAGTTTGCGCTTCGCGTTCTTCTAAGGCGAGAAGCTATGCCCGTTTGCCTCGTCTGTGCAGGAAAGGCTTTGGATTCCAGTCTTTCCCTTGCCCATTGCCCATCCACGTGGCTGCGGCTCAACCACGGAGGGGAGCAAGCTTCGACTGGTCGCCAGCCGGGCGCAGGACGCAGAGGCCTTTGCCCGCCCTCAAGCACTCCTTGGGGTTCAGGTGATGGGAGCGTGTAGATGCAGCTATATTGTTTTCTAACATTTGCAGGTTTCAGTTTCCTCTCGATTTCTCCGAACCGGAGCCTTCGTCCGGAAATGAATATCCGGCCCGCGAGACCATGGCCAGGCGGTGATCGAAGAAGTCTCGTCAGAAGCCGCACTGCTGGTTGGACATGCCGCGAAGATCGCTGGTTGCTTGGCTGCAGTCCTGGGTACTGTAGTACTGTGCATGTGATTGTGACATTCAATGATGCGCGGTAAGGTCCGAGGCCAGAAACAACTCTGCTCGTGCTGGACGCCTCGTTAAGCGTGGGCCTTAGAGACTTGAGGTTGGTTCAGCTGCACGAGGGGAAGCTATCTCGACTTCAGGTTGCGCGGCACAGTGGCAGGAGCCCGTTTCGGAACATCGGGAAGGGCAACCTGGTACTCGTGGGTCATATCATGCGTGTTTGTGTGTGTGTGTGCTCTCGGGTTGCTGTAATCATGTCTCCGCAGCGACCTCACGCAGGCAAATGCATGCAACGCCTGCTGGATGTTTCCGTTCACACTCGCATGAGGGTCAATCGTATGTATCCTCAACATATCAACGATCGAAGTTGTTTTAAATGTGCCAATTGAATCCACCTTTGGCTTATAGATTATAGCAGTTGTGATGCGAGATCCACTCCAGGACCTCGTTCGTTTGTCAGGAGCTCAGTGCAATTGAAACGGCAATTGATGGCAATTGCAGAAGAGCAGACTTTGTATGGGAAGACTGACAGGCAAAGGGTGGGGGGACTTTGCGTCCGACTTTTGAAAGGAAGAACGGGTCTGAAGTCTGAACTCTGAGGGAACATTCCGAAGCAGGACGCCCAGCCGAGGTCATGGCGTTTGCAGGCAGAAGCCGTTTGCCAACAAGGCGGTTTCCGGTGTGAGTTGCTCGACGCCTTGCGCATTTTTTGGTGCGATTTTCCGAAAGGCTTCCAAGACTTGTTGCAGATCGCCAGGGCCCTGTCGCACGGCCGAATGCCGCGGGAGAGCTATTCTGGAGTTCGCGTTGGCTTTCAGGTGCTCTTCCACCCGTCGGCGATGCACAGCATCTACTCGGAGGGCTTCCCCGACGCAGCCGACTTTACGATCCGCGCGCCCTTCCCAACCGTTCACCTGCTACGAGCCTTGGAGATGCCAGTGTGCCGGTGCTCCGCGTGCTCCGCGTGCGCCCTGCGCCGCGCGCCGTGCGAAGCCGAGGAGAGGCCGACGTCCTGAAGGCAGCGCGGCGCCTCAGAGAGGAGCGGAGCGGAGGCTTTGGCCGCTTTGCCCTGGCGCGCTTTTAAGGTCCAGGCCTATCCGGAGACCGGTGAGATTCCCGTCCGTAACAAGGCCAAGTTGCGCGACCAGGGCCTGGAGGTGTGCCGGGAGCGCTTGAGCTCCTGCCTGCCTCTCTCTCTCTCTCTCTCGGCGAGCCGGCGGCGCTTGAAAAAGAAGAGTCTGTGGCTTTTGGAAAAGGGGGGGAAGAAAGGGGCGAAAGGCGGCGACCTGATGGCCCACCACGTCGGCACCCGTCCCGCGAAAGCCTTACGATGCCTTCATCTGCCCCCGAGTTCCACCCCTCTTTAAGCTTTCCCCGTCGTTGACCGATCTTCTCGGTGCTTCATTGAAGGATTCGTGTGCTTCGTTGAGGGCATGCAAGCTTCGTTTCTTGATCACATGTGTCGTGCCAAAACGGGCTGCATCACAGCAACATCCCCGCACGATTGGAGATGGGTGCCCTGACATCTTTCTCTAGCCCGGAGGGATGAGCACGCAGATCACCAATCGTAAGTACAGTAAGCTCGGGAATGCTTCAAATCAGGTGAAGCGATACTGTGGGTGCTTTCATGATTCAAGAAATGTTTCGGTGTGGCACGTGATTTCAAGCAGGATTAGTATGCCTCATCTGAGAGCAGATCGTCAGACAAAGATCTGGGAAGCAGTTTGCGGTAAAAACCCCATGGCGTTTGACGACAATGGGAGGAGTGCCGGTGCCTTTCAGACATCAATCTACGTGGTGCTGGTGATTTCCTTCGGCACCGTCTTGCATCCCGAGCTGAAGGCCTTCTACAGACGGGGACATGGAGATATGAAGAACACGGTCTCTGCCATTGACGCTGCCTTGGCGACCTTCTCCTTGGCGGCTCTGCGGCTTCTTTGCTCAAGCTGTGCCTCCGACGGTCCCAGGCCCAACATTCCGTTCTGGCAGAAGCTGAGATGGGCCGCTCCGCCCGGAATCTTCGTATTTCTGGTCATCACACTCTCCACCTGGGCCAACTTCTTGAGCTACAAAGCCCTTGCCATGCTGGGCCCCTGCGAACTGATTTTTGTTTGGATCTTCGCCCGCTTTCTGCAGGAGGAGAGGCAAGTTCCTCTTTGCAGGGATCTTCCGGCGGTGATCCTGACGGCCCTTGGGAGCGTTCTCTTCAGCATCGCAGAAGTCGCCCGGGCCGGTCCCACGAGCACGAGCGCAAGTGCCTGGGCCATCGTGGCCTCGTTGCTGTGCAGGGCATGCCAAGCTCTCATGACCGTTTCCCTGCGGAGCTGCTGCGTCAATGTGGGTCGGGTGGGCGTTCTGGAGATCACTCTCCTGAAGCTTCTCGTCACCTCTCTTCTGTGCCTGCCGTATGCCCTCCTCACGGAGGGATTGGAGCCGTGGTGGATACTCGCCGACAAAGAGTTTTGGGCAGACTCGACGTCCGCGTTTTTGCTGCTGGGAAGCATCTTCATCACCACTGGCTTTCAGTGGGCCACGGTTGGCACGAACGCCGGTCTCAGGTCGCCTCTGGTCGCTGTGTTGCTGGGCACTTTGCAGCCGCTCACTGCCGTAGCTTTGGTGCTGGCCTTCAGCAACTCGCCCTTCTGCCAGGCGCTGGGCCTGAAGCGGCGGGACTCTCCACTGGAGATCGCTGGAATCTGCTGCCTCATCCTGGGCCTGCTGCTAGGCGGCCTATGCAGCCTGAGACAGCTCAGAGTCACGTCGGACCTCCGAGACCAGACCCTGGAATTCCTCGACCACCGAGCTGCCGCTGGCGTCTCGGCCGGGCGCGAGCATTGATGCTCGGAGCCCTTCAGAGCTCTGATCGTCCTCGTGTGGCCCTTGCGGACAGACTGAAGCCCCCCGATCGCGGAGACCACATCGACCAAGGCCCTTCACTTTCAAGATGATCTTCGGTGTGTGTGATGTCGCAGCCACTGGTGGTAGCGAGTCCCTCCCTTGTGGAGGAAGATAGCAGTGTACCGGACAAGTCTTACTTGACCAGATTTGCCTTACCGGAAAAGGTGGAAGTAAGTTCCAGACAGCAGTGACCGAACACCTTACGTAGTCTCTAACTCTAATCTAATCATACATAAGACATTTTAGGTGTAAGCATATGTCAGCATGTTGCCTGTGGCTCGAATCTGGGAGTAGCGATCCCCGGTTTGTCTGCCGCGGTGTAATCCCAACAATAGCAGATCATAAAACTTACTCCACCTTTTTCACAGAGGAGTTTCGTAGCTTAGCTTTTAGGAGCGGGGCCTCGAGGGCAAAGTGCGTAATAGTGCTCTCATTTTTGCACCTGCCAGATAGCCTTTCAACGGGCGAGGGGTGGAACTGACATAATGACCGGTATGGTATGACCATTAGCGGTCATTTACTGAAAGGGTCGGTCGCATATTCGCATGCCTTGCTTGGGAAAAGAGATTCAAAGCACGAAGAGTTCTTTGTGTGGAAGAATGAAATAGATCTGACTGCAGTTTCCGGAGATAGCTTCCGACAACAAGCTTGAACGTTTGAGGCTCTGAGGCTTGAGACTCGTCGTAATGCTGCGCAGGGCCGGCTTTCCCTTACGACAGGCCACTCCAGCGCTACCACGACGTCGTAGGGTCGGTAAAGAAATCCTTGCTTTGTGTGATCTTTGCTTTATATGAATATGGCCACAGGGGCTAGGACATGAGCTATCCTCCCAGAGCGAAATGCAACCGTCCCCGCGCTGAGCTTCAGATTCCCTTCTTGCAAGTTTGCTCATGTGGCCACCGCAGCCTGAGACCGAGAAGCCACACTGGTAGGTGTGTGCACGGAATGCTTGGTGCTCCGGGTTTTAGGATTTGGAGCTTTACAGATTTCGCTTTGGTGGCTTGGCACGAGATTTTTCAATTCAGTCATGTATGCTGCAGGAGTGTTGTTGAAATATGGTGAGAGGGCGCAAAGCCATGTCGTGGCAAACACGGCTCTGGAACAGTCCTCCAGCACAGCGATGATGCTTGTCTGCTGGCTGTCTTGCGTTCGTAGACGACATAGTCATACAGCGAGGATCCTTCCAAGCCTGGCATGCAGAGATTCTGGCCTGGGAGCCGGCGATCATGGTACCCGGCCGGCCGGCCGGAGTTTGGTGTCACGACTCGTGGTTTGTTGCCTATCACCGGGAGTTGGCTGATGCCCTTCTGCCACTGGACACATCCTTGGACGATGTGAATGGATGCTGGTGGGATTCGTCCTTCTACGTCCAATACGTGTCTCAGCTCCACTTGCAAGGCCATATCCTCCTGTCAGACAAGCTGGTTGTTCGGGGTCTGTTCGAGGGCACATACCCACGACATGGTTGTCACGGTTATGGACCGAGAATGTGGGAGGTGGTCAAAAGCCGCCACAAGGATTTGGAGCCAGCGTTAGACTGCCTCGTGAACAGTTTCGCGCGGGTTGGCTCATGGTATCGGGAATGGGGCGTGGCTCGCAAGCGCCAGGGGAGAGGCTACGATCTTCAAACGGACTCAGCAAACCGGAGCCTATGGGTCTGGCACACTCCCTCCATCAAGAAGTGGCGTTTCTGGGTTCTTATTAAGTAAAGGAGTTAATATAGTAGTTACCAGAATAAGGATCTATAGTGAAAATATTCTGGCTTCTTTATCATGGCAACTTAAAACGAATCCCTTAACAAGAACCCAGGTTTCAGTTAGTCACCTGTGGAGCCCTTCGGACCGAGGACCTTGCTTGACATTGAGATTCGATGGTTTCTGTTAAGAGTTCAGGGTTAAGGGCGGCGGTGGGTTTGTATCCTCGGACTGTGAGATCACCGGTCGTTGGCAGTAGAGTGGTGCAGTTGACGGAGATGGCAGCAAGTCATACACACCTTAATTGCAACCGTGCAACATAAGGTCTTCACTCACTCTGATGCACGAGCCCGTCGACGACGATATGGGGCCACCTCATTGCAGGTTTTATCGCCGAACCGTGCGATGCATTCCGCATATCCCAAAGCACTGGAATTGGCGCAGCATCATGAAGCGCAATATTGCCTAGCAGCGAAACAGGTCCTCGCGTGTCCGGCTCTATCAGAGTTGACCGTCATGACAACAACTCGGACGGCCCAGCACAACAGGTCCGCGTGCCGAAGTTGCCTTGGGTAGACCGCAGGAGAGTCGACCACTCACCCGCATGCTGCAGGATGTCTGCGGTTGTGTGAGGCTGTCGAGCCCTCTCCCCCCAAAAAAGACTCCTGCAAATGATAAGCCTCGTGGAACCGCTGCAGGCACGCAGTGTTTTGCGTTTCGAAGGCATTATCGAGAGCTTGAGTCAGTGATCGACATGACATACCTTAGAACTCCTGCACCACTGATCTTACTTTGGAGTAGGCTCGCATTCGACAACCCGTGCTTTAGATCCAAGCGCCGAAGATGCCCCCTGCTCGGGCCTCTATAGGCTATAAGGGCCCCCAGAGCGCGCGCCTTTGGAGCGGCCTCCGCGCGGCGGCTCCGCGCGGCGTCCGCGGGTCGCCATGGAGGAGGACTTGGCAGCTGCGCTGGCCTTGTCCATGGAGCCCTTGCCCAATCAGGCCGTCTGAGAAGCGAAGAGCTCTGAGATACTCCTGGCTTTTCTTGCTCCTGTGCAGGCCAACCAGCAGGTTAGTCCGGCTGATGCTGCGGTCGCGACCCTGCAGGCGAACACTGCCGCGCTTGCAGAAGCGGGCTCCCTTGCAGTGCTATCAACCCTGCTCAACAACCTCGCCCTTCGGCTTTAGCTTCTCTTGCATGTGCCTAGGCCTAGACCGTTCGCCAACATGGTGTCACTCCCGAGGTGAAGAACCCAGCTGAGGACCGCCCGCGACCATTGAAAGGTCGTGTCAGCTGTGCTCCGCGTAGCTACAAGATGATCTCCTGACGCCGCTACCACCGACACAGGAAAAGCCACCGCCCCCTAGAATATGAAGCTCGAAATCGGAACGGGGCACCCGTTAGAACATTGCCGAGAAGGGGCTGGGGGGGGGGGGGGGGGGG